CATGCTGCTTGTCGAAGTATTTGGCTATGTACATTGAGCCTGTAAAGGCCGTCGCATTCAAAATCGCCCCGCCTATCATTATCGCTATCGATGCCATATATATATATTCAAAAATTATTACTTGGGTAGAATACCCTTATCCTCTAAATAGTCTTTCGCGTATAGACTTCCTGAAAGCACCCCCACCCATTTACCGTAATTCGCTATAGAAGTGCTTGGATCGCCTGTGAAATTTTCTTTTAGCACCTTTCTACCTAGCCAACCAATACCACTCGCAATTCCTACTACCACCGCCGAACCTAATACTGTTTTCACTAGTTTGTTCTCACTCATGCTATATATAACTAACATATTTCTATTTCCAAATGAATTTTCTCGGGAGCCACCTGTAATAACTTTGTGCCGTCTGTGATGCGAAAGAATATAGAATAAACACGATTAGTTCCGTTGGTTTTAATTTTAGCCCGGCTGCCTGGTATGCCCATTTCATTAACTTTCTTCCTATGAATTATTCCCAAAAGCTGCGTTCTCTTTGAATTTAAACGAACATCTTCACTAGCTATTAAATCACAATAGATGTGAATTGCTTGTGGAGGAAATTCCATCTTGTCTGGAATTCCAATGCGAGCGCTGTTCAAAGAAATAGTTTCCGGATTATGCGCAGGCGGATCTAAATATATTGTAAATTCCGGCTTAGTTTCTTCAATGTATAGTATCATCTTATTCCATACCGATTTTTCTTTTAGGTTTCTTTTTAGGCTCTTCTACCTCTATTTCCTCTATTTCATCTATTTCCTCAGGTTCTTCTTCTGGCTTAGATTTCCATAAATTCGTCATATGAGTTCTCAGGCCGCTTTTAGATGATTTCCATCGGTAGTATAAATCGGCAGCTGCTATTGTCGTGCCCACAATAGATATAGCCGTTGTTAGAGATATTTCAGGCATCCAAGACTTTTGTTTCTTTTCCTTCTGCAATGCATTCTTTGCCTTCTTATGATACTCAGCTAGCCTCTTACCAGCAGCCACCTTCTTCGGATCTTTTATCTTCTTAACAACTTCTGGCTCTTTTGTAATTTGCTCAACTTGCTCACTCATTATATAATATATATTTTTGAATCTCATGCTTAAGACTGCTCAGGAGAGAACTTAATATGCTTAGCAATCTGCATAAGACAAGAACCAAGAGCCACAAAGCGGCCGCCATGTAATACAGCATATCCAGCGACGTTGTTGAGCTCCTGCTTAAGAAGGTCATTCTTCTTCAAATCCTCACACAATTCTTTCTTATCATCTATTGGAGCTACCATACTGATTACCTCAGCAGCCCCTTCTATGGCCATATCAACAAGGCCTCCAGTCACTTGATTACCCATAGTGACTTGATATCGATTATAATATGTTTCAACATCCTTAGCTGAAAGCTTTTTTACATCACCTAAAGACATTTTAACTCCCGTGTAAGTTTCTATAGTTCCTAAAACAGCCAGGATAGACAGCTGCTCTCTTTTCTCTTCAACTTCGGGAGAGTCCGGCTTTTTCGTTGTACGCTTCTTTTTCGTTTCTACTGGTCTCTCGACCGGAGTTTCGGCGGGCGCTTCTTCAAG